GTGAGAGTGTGTGTGTGTGTGTGTGAGAGTGTGTGTGTGTGTGTGTGCGTGTGTGTGTGTGTGTGTGTGTGCGTGTGTGTGTGCGTGTGTGTGTGTGTGTTTGCTGTTGTTTACAGGAGTTGAGATTGTTTTCGATTGAAATTCACTCAGTTATGATATTCAAGTCAAAGATATTTTCAGATCTTTATTTGATTTCTTTACTATCTTGTTGTTGTCTGTTGTAGACTTGTGTTGTCGGTTGTTGTCTGTTGTTGTCTGTTGTTGTCTGTTGTTGTCTGTTGATGTCTGTTGTTGTCTGTTGTTGTCTGTTGTTGTCTGTTGTTGTCGGTTGTGTCTGTTGTGTCTGTTGTTGTCTGTTGTTGTCTGTTGATGTCTGTTGTTGTCTGTTGTTGTCTGTTGTTGTCTGTTGTTGTCTGTGATGCATTGCCATGTTGAAGTTGTTCATCACCGTCTCTCTCTCATGGTGTTGCATCACTTGTTGTCTGTTCATGACTTCAATAAACCAGTCATTTCAAACAGTGGCTCTGGTCCTGTTTCAGTCATTTATCCACTTCTGCTTTCTTGGTACTGTATTTGTTCTTCAGCCTCGTTGTTGAGCTGAAGTGTTCGCTCTGGTGAACAATAAAGATGTATTCTAGTCTTTCATTTTGTCCATTAATCCTGCCACGCATGGTGTATGTATCTATTAACCTCTCTCTCTCACACCGTGCCGTCACTGCAGACATGTTCTCCTCTCTGGAGGTTACTAAATCTTTATTCCAAGATATAAACGTGTGGTCAGAGCCGAACCAACGCAGACTGAAGAGGAAACTCATCACCTCGTGTTACTGAGTCTCAGATGAAGGCTGCACTCTTTCATTTTCACAGGATCGGTGAGACAATGTTCGATAAATGACTGAATGTGCAAACAGGACCAGAGCCGCTGTTTAAAATGACTGGTTTCTTACGATACGATAATACTTGAATGGTCAGATGAAGTCTGAAATGCTCCTTGCATCACAGCAGCTCCATGTGTAACATCAACAGACACATATCCAGACACATGAGCAACACACATGGATCACAGCAGGATGAGTGAGAGATGCTCAAAGAGCCGTCAGCGTGCATCTGATCTGGGATTTAGTCATAAACAGACAAGAACATACCAAAAAGTGATGAGAGAGAGAGACGGTGGTGAACACCTTCATCATGGCAATGCATCACAACCAACAACAGACAACAAGTCTACAAAACAAAGCCACGCAGTATGCAGTCTACTGTCCCGCAGCTGCTGCCTCTCTGTTGGACTCCGGTACTACACATTACTCACGAGACGTTGTAAAAATAAAACACTAACCACTCCGCCAACGCCACAGTCACCCCCGTCGTGCGGGCCGGATGAGAATGTCTGGCGGGCCCGGATGTGGCCCGCGGGCCGCCAGTTGATGCACAGTCACTATATGAAACAGTCGGTCAGAGGACTTCATATCCGCACAGAAGTGCATCACTGAGAAGGTTGACTGTGGAAGAAAGACGATCCAAAGAAGAGATAAAGAGGTGACTGTAATAGAAACACATCATACTCACTTTCTCCCTTTAATGATATCATTGATTCTTATAATGTTTATCTACATTCCATATTAAGAAGATGTGTTGCAGTGTTGTTAGTTACTCTCTATGTGCACCAATAGCATGACTTTCACCTCAGTTAATACTAATAATAATTGAACTGATAACTTCCTGACAGTGCCTCCCTAAACTTCCACAATGCTCCTCTGTTATCACCGGGCTCCCCCCCTTCTCCTCTCTCTGTGTTTAAATAACCCAAACTCTACTCTTCCTCTTTCACTCTGCAGACAGAACGCTCTCTGTGTGACTGACTGAACTTTCTTGCAAGAACTAAAATACGACAGCTGAATGGTTTGATTCTCTATCCACATTCAATAAATACATTCCCACTAACGCAACATGAAGTGAACGTACCCTGTGCTCATCATCGCCAGCCTCTCACACTGAGGGCTCTTCACCATGAGATCAGATATCACATGAGTTCAAGGCTCAAACACACCTGTAAACCTCAAACTGTGGACCTGTGATCAGCTGCAGGTGAGGATCAGAGGCCTGTACTACGAAGCCGGTTCAACCTAACCTGGATATGTTTGAGTTAGCCGGTTGGCCCAATCCAAAACATACGCGCTCTCGCTAAGCGGTCCTACGACGCTGGTTATCAAGTGGATCGCTCAAGCCAGCCGTGTCCTATCTAGTTAGGTGCGCGTTCACATGAAAGGGGTGGTATCTGGAGCATTCGACCAATCACAAACATGGAGAAGCGTACTGACAGCGCAGCGTCATACTTCCTGAATGAAAAGTGAACTTTAATATTAGTCAAATATGAAGAAGTTAAACTTTAAACATCCATGACTTAAACACTTTATCCAGGATCAAAGCCACATAGCTGCACCTGCAAGGTGAATACAGCTGGTAACAGAGAAAGTGTTTGAATGCGTACATTAACAGGTTTATGATATCACTGCCCCGTCTAAGACACGATCTGACTTTCATTACATTTGACTCCAGTGTTTCGTCAACTTAATGTGTTGCTTAAAATAATACTTCTGCATCCAGTATGTGACACTGTGAGTGTTGCACGGCCAGATACGGCTCAGCTGACTCAGATAAGGAAATATATGATACATTATGATGTGATATGATATGAATGATAATGGGACACATCTACGTCTGCACTCACAGTGCCGCGGACTGTACGTAATGTTACTCTGATCCGGTTACTTATGTCGTGGCAGATATTTAAGTAAGCTTTCTTAACGCTAATGTTATAATAGTCAGATTGCTCTGAAGATGGGAGGAGGGGATATTCTATTAATGTTCACGTTCACACAGTCAGGTGATTTTTGCCGGCCGTCTTTCCTGCAACGGCAGTTTCTCTGTATTTCCTCTATCCTGTAATATGAATTGATCTTTAAACTCCTCACACTGAGCTCTGATTGGTCAGCAGGCGGTGCTTTCACTGAGTTGATCTCTTAGCCTGCAACCTAACCTGCTCCCGAGGAGGCTAGCCGCTCAGCATCAGTTACCATGGAGATCTAGCCCGCTAAAAAGAGAACCAGCGTCGTAGGACCGGAAAGCCAGAGTTTTCCCTGAAGTCAGCTAAGAGAACATCCGGCTTCGTCGTGCAGGCCTCTGGTGAGAAGCTGACATAATATCCCTCTTGATGTGGATCAGAGCTCCTGATGTTCAGTGTTTCCGGTGAGAAGGACGACTCCAAAGCTCCTGGGTTCTTTGATCCAGCTTTTGTTTTTCTCTTTCAATAATTCATGTTGAAATGTTCTTCACCAGGTCAGCTGCAAAGTGAGGCAGTGAGGAGAGTCTGAGGGATGAGATGTTCTTCACCTGAGGCCTGTACTACGAAGCTGGATGTTCTCTTAGCGGCTGACTTCAGGGAAAACTCGGGCTTTCCGATTCCTGATTTTCGTCGATGTGTCCCATTATCATTCATATCATATCACATCATAATGTATCATATATTTCCTTATCTGAGTCAGCTGAGCCGTATCTGGCCGTGCAACACTCACAGTGTCACATACTGGATGCAGAAGTATTATTTTAAGCAACACATTAAGTTGACGAAACACTGGAGTCAAATGTAATGAAAGTCAGATCGTGTCTTAGACGGGGCAGTGATATCATAAACCTGTTAATGTACGCATTCAAACACTTTCTCTGTTACCAGCTGTATTCACCTTGCAGGTGCAGCTATGTGGCTTTGATCCTGGATAAAGTGTTTAAGTCATGGATGTTTAAAGTTTAACTTCTTCATATTTGACTAATATTAAAGTTGACTTTTCATTCAGGAAGTATGACGCTGCGCTGTCAGTACGCTTGTCCATGTTTGTGATTGGTCGAATGCTCCAGATACCACCCCTTTCATGTGAACGCGCACCTAACTAGATAGGACACGGCTGGCTTGAGCGATCCACTTGATAACCAGCGTCGTAGGACAGCTTAGCGAGAGCGCGTATGTTTTGGATTGGGCCAACCGGCTAACTCCAACATATCCAGGTTAGGTTGAACCGGCTTCGTAGTACAGGCCTCTGGTCAGCTGCAAAGTGAGGCAGTGAGGAGAGTCTGAGGGAAACGTTGAGTCACTGTTTCCCAAACACAACAAGAGTTGTTGTTATTTACTTATTTTACTTACACAAATTAAAATGCTGCTTTTTTACAGTGTTTAACGTAACTGAACAAAATACAGTTTTACACCTCTCTCTCTGTGTGTCTTTATTATGACGGAACAACTAGTCCACTACTATTTTGAAAAACTTGTCGACTAGTAAATATAGGTAGTTGTGAAACCCCTAACACACACACACACACACACACACACACACACACACACACACACACACACACACACACACACACACACACACACACACACACACACACACACACACACACACACACACACACACACACACACACACACACACACACACACACACACACACACACACACACACACACACATATGGCAAGCCATTTGAGTATGTATTCCATATCCTTGATGTCAGACGGCAGCTGCCTGCACTAGTTGGCTCTTTGATTTCACTTGTTAGACATATGGTCAAACTAGTTTGGCACTCTGCTTTACTAGTTAAACAAAACATTACACTAGTCACTCTTTTTCAGCAACTAGTGGCACTTTTGTCCGACTAGTTAGCACATAAGCCTTACTAGTGACGCCAGGAGCAGCACTAGTAGCACCAAAGTCCCAACTTGTAAGCTTTGTGATGAACTAGTGACCCTCTGACCGTACTAGTGACGCTAAAAGTCTTACAAGTTAACTAGTGCGCTGCAAAAGCTCTGACATGTTAACTAGTTACACAAAAGAAAGCACAACTAGTTAACTAGTGGCATACATTTGTCTGCACTAGTTAACTAGTAGCACCCAGAATCGCTCACTAGTTAACTAGTAA